CTCTTTCTCTCTTTATCTTCTCCAAACCATCGCCATCCCTCAAACTGTAGCATAGCTCGATGCCACACACTTCACAGGCCGGCTCCACGTGCTCCCAGTTCAGATCCATAACCGAGCACTATGCCGCTAAACGCGCATGCTCGCACCGTCTTCCCCGACCAGTCTCTCTCCACCCTCGTCCTTCCGTTTCCCATCTTCCGCTCCCAGATCTGCTCCTCTCTTGCAACCATCATGCGCCGGCATAGGTCCCTCTTCTCAGGCCTCACGCTCGGACGTCCACCCTCAACCCCGGACACGAGCTCCGTTCCCATCCCTATCCCGACCTCAAACCACTCAGCCGCTTAGCCTTTAGCCGCCCTTTGGAAAAATAACCCGTCAAACCTCTCCTTCGCTTACCCACAACGACCAGAAGCCCGCACCGCCCACAGCTCTAAGCCGATTGCAACCCTTGGCCAGATCTCCTTCCCATCTAACGACACATTCATTCAAATGGGGGACCACATTCACATGGGTTGATGAGTGCATGTGGATATACAACCATTTGAATAAGTGGAGGGGATTATGCCACCTCACTACCAAGCATACACATTTCTCTCTCTCTATATATATATATATATATATGAGAAATATAGGTATGTTTAGTACCAACAAAAAATTTTGTGCTTGGTAGTAAGGTGGTACAATCCCCTCCACTCATTCAAATAGGGGACCACATTCACATGGTTGAGGAGTACATGATGATATTATCAATGACTAAGAAACTTAGTGGACGTCCACTTAAGTTGACACAAGTTTTCCTCTATATATATATGGGTATGCTTGGTACCAAGCATAAATTTTGTGCTTGGTAGTAAGGTGGTACAATCCCCTCCACTCATTCAAATAGGGGACCACATTCACATGGTTGAGGAGTACATGATGATATGCAACCATTTGAATGAGTGGAGGGGATTATATCACCTCACTACCAAGCACAACTTTTTATGTTTGGTACCAAGCATACCCATTTTTCTCTCTCTATATATACATGTATATATATGTATATATATATACATGTATATATATATATACATGTATATATATATGTATATGTATATATCTATATACATGTATATATGTACATATATACATATATATATGTATATATATATATACATGTATATATGTGTGTGTGTATATATATATATATACATATATACATATATATATATATATATACATATATATATATACATAAAATGGAGAACCTTGGTACCAAGTTTCTCCAAACAACTTAGTACCAATGTGGCATCATCTTGGCCCTCCATCTATTTTCGGGTAGATAATAATTAGTTGATGTAATTTTGCAAAATAGCCCCCCTCACGCTCTCTCTCAAACTCTCTCTCTGTCTCCCGTGATTTGCTCTCTGCCAAATCTCTCTCTTAAACCCCTCTCTCCCTCACTCTCTCCCCCATGATCTCTCCTCTCTC